ATTATCCGAGAGTGGGATCAGCCACCAAAACACTCACAAAGAATCTTCTATGGGAGGTAACATAGTAGTAACATTTTTCTCCACCTCTCCTTGTAGGGGAGAGGTAGAGCAGCAGAGGCCTCCACTTCATAGCAGGCAGGATACTGGGAGGCTGGGGTAAAGCAGCAAGGATCTCAATGAGAAACTTCTCAGATCTACCCAGCGTCATCCACACCAGCTAATACTTCTGGAAGAGTGCCTTCTAATTTCTGCCTCTTTCTAGCAGATCTGTTTTTAATACTGATATATAGAGTACAGAGTAGGGCAATACCCACAGGTTATCCACGGCAAGATTTTTTTCCATTGAGCTAATTTTAAAATCCGAACATCCATCTATAAAGCTAAAACCTGAATTAGATGTGTGCGTGTTTTTGTTTGGGGTTGGGCAGTTATCAGAACAAAAAAAATAAAATAAAAAAATTCATCCGTCGTTGCTCATCCCCATGTAGCAGCTCTGAAGTGTCCGCGCTCTCTCAATCATTTTAAAATAACAAAATTGCCAAGTTTAAGATGCTTTCCAAATAGAATTATAATATGGGTCCTGACCTGCAAATCTCTGGAGGTATGTCTACACTTGCACTCCAGTTTGAACAAGGGATGCAAATGCAGGCATTCGAAATAGTCAATGAAGCGGGGATTTAAATATCCCGTGCTTCGTTAGCATGATTTTGCCGGCACGCTAGTTCGAATCATAGCTGATTCGAACCAGGAAGGGCGCACCAGGATGCGTTAATTTGAACCAAACCCTTTGGTTTGAACTAACATGACTCAAAAAATGAAGAGTAATGTTAGTTCGAGCGAAGGGGTTTGGTTCGAACTAATGCGTCCCGGCGCACACTTCCTGGTTCGAATCGGCTGTGATTCGAACTAGTGCACTAGCGAGATCATTCTAATGAAGCATGGGATATTTAAATCCCGCTTCATTGACTATTTCAAATGCCTGCATTTGCATCCCTAGTTCGAACTAGGGTGCAAGTGTAGACATACACTAGGAGAACCCGTACTAATACAAGTATTCCTATGGGCATCACTTACTTAGATAGGAAGCTCTTTGGTGAATCTCATGAATAAGTATGCTGTGTCCTACGATAACCTAACATTTCCAAATTTACAAATATGCAACCCTAAAATAGACTGAACATGAAGCTTCCTCCTTCTCCCTACCACATGCACACATAAAGGGCAATGTTAAGAGAGTTAAAGCTCTAGGTACAGTGAAATCACTTTGTGGTTACTTGCACTGGAAAGAAAAATATTGTATTTGGTGTCTGTAAAGTGATTAGAAATGTTGGGGGTTAGCTGCGTTGGATATATCGAGTATGGGGTAGGACAATGTCTGGAACACTTTACACAGGGTGTTTTGGATTTATTACATCAGTCGCAACATCTAAAATCTAGACCAAATTAAAAGACCAATTAAACTACATTATTTCACTGCCCATTCCATAATAAGTGGGAGCAAGAGAACACAATGCGGCTCCTATTAGGACAATGCTGAGCCCACCTTCCATGTATACAACCCTTCCAAAAAGATACTCTTCCTACTTAAATAAAACACAAAACATGATCATTCAATTACTGTTCCACTTCAATGTAAACTCTCTGACCTGCCTGATCACCTCTCTCCCTATGACACATTGCCACAGTTTGCAGGGCCACTGATGCTAAACTCCCCTTAAAAGGCCAGAGAAGAGGCAGCTGGCAGGTTGTTCTCCATAAGAGTCCTGGACCTCTCAAATGCCCTTTGATTCCTGCTCTGAAAGAGACTGGAGTTTCTGAGTTCCAGGATGCAATGCATTTCAAGTGTAGACAAGGCCTGAGGCACCTGAAATCGCTAGTCACTTCTGAAAATATAGGCCTACGACTGTTAGTGAAGTCATTTAGATTAGACACTGTTTCCATTACCAAGAGAGCTTTCAGTACATAGGAGCTGCTCTGGACTGTGATTACTATATTGAAAACAGATCTGCTGCTAACAATGCAGTGAGTATCGAATGTTAGAAAGAGGAGTGACCTCACTCTACCGCAAGCACTTGTCTGGGAAGGAAATAAGGTTGTCATGAGTTACCTCAGTTAGACATGACATGCATGTATAAAATATGCAGAGAGTCTGGATCATGGTGCTTGCACTCCTTATTCTAGCTCTTTATCTTTTTTAAACGTGGAAGGATAGACTGCTGGTGGCGCCTGCCAAATGACTGCGAAAATTCACTGATAAGGTGTGGCTGGTACATACCATATGCTGTTAGGAATGGTCAGATTTCCACCTTGCATCCTAGGGATGTTAATAATTCATGTACTAGTCGAGTAGTCGATGGAATTTCCTATGGTCTACTTGACAGGCACGTCCATATTCCTCCTTTGAAATGTTCAAGAGCCCCCACAGTTCATCCCGGGATCAGCTGTGAGGCACTGCCACTTTGAAGTAGCCCCTCTTTCCCCCCCCCCTTTGCTGCCTCTATTTAATAGAGGCAGGAAGCCCCCCCACTTAATAGAGGCAGCAAGGGGGGGAATTGACTAGTTGACTTGGATAGTTGACTAGTCCTTAGCATCCTTATGTCATCCATAGGGTAAAAAAAATTGAAGGAAACTGCAGTGTTTCCCAAGATTCCCTCTAAGTTGCAGCTACTTAATGAACCCCACCCAACCAGGGGTTTAGACTCTACACATGGAGCTGCCGGTCTGGGGGAAGGGCACTTCTCTCTCAAAGACAGCAGCAGTTCCCTGCTGAGGACAGAGCAGCGAGTCTCTCCCAGCAGGTGAGGACACATCCCCTCCCTATCAGTTGCTTGCACTAGACTGTGCTAATCAAGTTGAAAGAAAATTATCTTAAAAAAAGGGGCAAAAAGAAAATGTGCATGAAGTAGCAATGGTGGTTGGGGAGAGAGGCTATACGCTAATAATGTTTAATGTAACAATTAAAACAATCAAAACACATGATACATCTGAAATACATTTTCAGATAAGAGATAAGACCACAGGGGAAAACTGACAAGTATAGCCGAGGCAGACTGCAAACAAAAAGACTGCTCTTAAAAGAATATCTACAAAAGAACAGCTGCAAATCACAGATGCCCATGCTATAACTGCCTTAGGGTGAACTACTGCATACTTCCTTCATCTGGTAATTTACTACTTCTCATATTAATTTGCTATATGGGTTAGCGCTCATGGAAAACATGCGTGTAAATTCTAGAATTCCATGAGTTATTTTGATGGAAAAAACCCACAAAAAGTTATTTGCAGGATGAAAGTTACCTTAATATCATCAGTTTTTTAAAATCACTGTTTTACCTTTTGGCTGCAGGTCTATCTTTTGTCCTACAGTCAAATGGGGCACTTACTGAATTATAGTATGTTATACTATACAGTCAAACACCTGTAATACGAAGTGCTAATATTCTATTCTACTCTTATACTGCATTCATCACCATGGTACCAGAGTGACTTCCCATAATACATTAAGTGATGTGACTAATATCTGCCATATGTTTATTCAATAAATTGCCATTTCTTTTTGGAGATGCATGCAACATGAGTACGGTGATTCTAGAACTCCATGTTCTTGCAGAGTGATCCAGATACAATTTTATCACCAAAAGATAATCAGTTTTGTGGACACCTTTGTTCCAGTCACTAATAAAACATTTCATTCATTCAAAATTAGAATTTCATTTGATAGACTTGTTCTGCTACTAAATACACTCAAGTAACAAGGGATTATTTTTTTAATATAAAATCTTCCATAAAGAGTACAGCATAGTTTCTAAAACCATGGAATGAAGGCACTCAAGTAAACACATACGGTTGCATTTTCCTATCTTCTGTGGGTCTGCAACAGGGGTGAGCAATAAGTGGCTAATGTCCTGGATGCAGTTTGCCAGGGTTAGCCCCTGGCAGGGCACCAGACACTTTATTTACCTGTACGTCCATGGGTATGGCTGCCTGCTGCTTCCAATGACTGCCATTCACTATTCTTGGCCAATGAGAGCTGTGGGAAGCAGCGCAGGCTGGGCCACCACTTTTTGCAGCTCTCATTGGCTGGGAACAATGAACTGTGACCAATGGGAGCTGCGAGCAGCCGTACCTACAGACACTTGGGCAAATAAAGCATCTAGCAGCCTGCCAGGGGCTAATCATGTATCCAGCCCACAGGCTACTTACTGTCCACCCCTGTTCTCTGATCAGAAAGAACACAGGCATTACCCTTTTCCTTAATAGTCTGGAAATCATAATGCTAACAGAAATACCCTTCACTATTTTTAATTAGCTAATCGAGTAGTCGATGGAATTTCTATCAACTACTCAATTAGTCGATGAGGAGGGAAACTGCAGAGCCGCAGTAGGGTAAATTCCTGACCGCAGGAGCTAAACCCATTGCAGAGCTCTGCCTTATAATAGATAGAGGCAAAAAGGGAGGGGGAGAAGCGACTACTCGACTAGTGACTCGACTACCCAATAAGCCTTGGCTTATCGGGTAGCCAACTAGTTGCTTGCATCCCTAATTTTTAAAACTCTATTCTTAATGTTGTCCCAAGATTTTTTTTAATGTGTAGCCCCTTTCACTTTGTCCCATTTGCATTGAAAGCAGATATGTACAGCACATAAAAAATAAATATTTACCAATCTATGTCATTTGCCATTTCTTTTAGAGAAACATACAAAGGAAGGTATGTTCTCATATAAAATGGTACAGCTACCTATGCCAATGGGCAGGATTCTCCTATTGACCTACTTAATCCACCTCCCTTAGGAGGTGGTAGTTAGGAAATGGAAGAATTCTTCTGTCAACCTAGCACTGTCTACACTGGGGGTTAAGTCAGGATACCTGTGTCTCTTGGGTGTATGAATTTTTTCATAGCCCTGAAGCTTGCATTCATATCTTAACTTTGCAGTTTGTGCCCATTTCTAATGCAAATGCCTAAGAAATTAGACTATTCTAACAAATAGCACTTCCTTACCTGAAATTTGAGATATTGATTTGTTTCCGAATATACAGTCACTGCAATGCTTAGGGCTACAATGTGCAACACTGCAGAAAGGACACTGATGATGGCTGCATCTCTCATCCCAAAGGGTAACATAGTATAAACTGTGAAGATGATGAACAGAAAGAATGGTACCTTTAAAAAGAAAAAAGGAAAAACCTGTTATTTTTAGGTGCCAGACAAAAATCACCACAAAGCCAGGGGGGAAATATCAGCTTTTTGACTTTTCTTCATGCTGCACACTCTAATACTGACATTTCAATGGAACAATTACAGTCATCGGGAGATCAGTGTTCATAAAAGCATTGAGGACACTGGATAAAGTTATTATATACATGTAGACAAGTCAGTTGCTTAAAGAGGACATTTGATGATTAATTTGTCTCCTTCTTTGGTAAAACAGCAGATATACTGTAGACTAGGGATGTTCAAATGAGGTTATTTTAATAATTGAGTAGTTGATAAAATTTTTATCGACACCTCGATTAGTCAATAGACAGCCGGTTCAGTCCCAACTGCCTTTTAAATTGCACAGCCACAGTGGAGTTTGGTCCCAGCACAGGACTGAGCCAGCTGCCTGCCCAGCTGGCAGCAGCCCCTGCCCACGGAGATCATCAGTGGGGAATTGGGATCCCCTGCGGATGGGGGCTGCTGCTGCCAAGCAGCTCCTGCCCACGGTAGCTGGACGCGGACAGGGGCTGCTTCGCAACAGCAGCCCCTATCCATGGGAGGTGGGGTCCTAACTTCTCCCTGGGATCTCCGTGGACAAGGGCTGCTGCTAGAGCAGCCTCCCCTGCTCCCTCCTCCCCCTGCCACCCACTGCTGCCTCTATCAGAGGCGGGGAGAGGGAGACAGCACTCTGGGGACTGTGCTGGAGGAACCGGCTTCTGCTTCCGCCTCCCCAGCCCATGCTCTCTGATATAGAGGCAGCAAGGGGGAGAGGGAATGCGAGTAGTCAACTCAACCACCCACTAAGCCTAGACTTATCAAGTAGTCGACTAGTCAACTACTCCCTTAAATCCCTATTGTAGACCAGTGGTCACCAACTACTGGTAGATCCTGGAGCCTCTGACAGGTGATCCTGAGTGGTTTGGCTGGGAAGTAATCAAGTACCGGCACTTCAACTGCCCCTACCCACACTGCCATGTTGTTACTGCTCTCTGCCTTGGAGCTGCCTCTCTGGAGCCTCCTGCTTTCTGTGTAGGGTGGGGAAGGCAAAAGAGGTGGGAGCTGATGTCAGGGTGTCCCCCAAGCCCCATTACCACAGAGTGAGGAAGGTGGAACCACAGGGAGGAGACGGGGCAAGAGTATTTGAGTTTGAGGAAGATCCTGGATTGACTTGAATTCAAAGAAGGGATCTTGTGCTTAAAAAGGTTGGAGACCACTGCTGTAGACCTTATAACCACAGACAAGCTAGGACATAACCTACACCTGAATTATGTACCAACAATAATATAAAGCAAGAATGAAGCTACTGCCTTTCATTTCAAACTACCCAACTGCTTTAAGTTCTTATTATAATCTTAGAACCAACACCTTGTGAAAATGTTTATTTGCTTAATATTTTATTGACTCTAAAATCAAACAATCCTTCATGGAGTTGATTCAACAGAGTAATCACTACTGCACATAAACATACACTTGAAGGCATAGTTAACGAATTTACAAAATGTACCTTGGCCTGCTAAACCATAGCTCATAAAGTGCTATTAGAGTGTCATTAAATACATATTGATTAGGGCTGTCAAACAATTAAAAAATTTAATCGTCATTAATCGCGTGATTAATCATGTGCACCTCCCCTTTCAATGGGGCAGCGTTGCATGGAGCCCGGGATCAGCTAGAGTCCCCAGCTGACCCCGGGCTCCATGCAGCGCTGCCGTTTGAAATGCCGTGGTGGCACATGAAAGGGGCAGCACAACACGGAGCCCAGGAACAGCTGGAGTGCCCAGCTGATCCCGGGCTCCATGTTCTACTGCCCCTTGGAAATCCCGCCCCGGCACCTCAAAAAGGCAGCACATTAGGAGCCCGGGGTCAGCCGGGGACTGCCCAGCTGATCCAGGCCCTGCACGGCAGCAGAACCCAGGGGCAGCAGAGGCAGTGTTCCCAAGGGACAGTGCAAGGCTGATCCTGGGCTTTGCGTTGCATTGCCCTTTTGAAGTGCCGCAGCAGCACTTCAAAGGGGCAGCGCAGCATTAATGCCTGCAATTAGCGCACTAAAAAAATTAACGCATTAATCCTAGACTGCGTTAATCACAGGCATTAATGCAGGTCCATTGACTGCCCTAATATTTATGGATTTCTGTTGTAGCCTCCCATACAAAGGGACTCAATGCTTGCATGTAGTTCTGTGACAGACATATTGCAAGACTGCCCACTCAGCTTTGCCATTTCATTTCAACCCCAACTTGACTACTGTTCCAGACAGTAGCCTCTCTTGGGGAGATTCTCACTCATGGTAGATTCTAAATACTGTGTAAAGGTTTTGTAACATGGAGAAATGAAGACTAAATAAGGAAACACACACACTTCACTTATGATCAAAGATACTAAATAAAGACACATGAGAATGTTAAAGGCAGAAAATTGCTGTTCCATCTGACCTCCTATAATATGATCTTCACATTTAAAAAAAAAAGTCAAAGATATCAGCCCACATTAAGTGTTTCAGCAATTAAAGAAGCAAAGTCAGGCCCTTTGTTTAGTTATAGGAGCAAAAAACAAAAACAAAAATAAAAAACAAAACACCAAAACAAACAAACAAACCATCACCAAAACAACAAATATCATTTTTCCACAAATTTTGTATTCAAATTATTAATTAGAATTATTTTGAAAACCAACCTCACCAGTGTGAATTTATGCAATAAACCGAAGGCTCTATCGCTTCATATTATACATGCTGCTATCTTTAGCAAAGATATAGCTACAGTAGCTGAAGTCTGCAGTAAACATATCACTGTGCTGGACTGCAGTCAAAGTAGAAAACAGATTCTGATTGTCTGGGAGATTATTTCTAATTTTCATTATTCAAAAAAGGATGGATGGAATGGGAAGGATCAGTATAAATTAGATAAAAAGTGGTTTCTCTCTTCAAAACTCTTCTGCTTATGTTATCAGATCTTGGAAGGAGTTTCCTACAGATTATAATTTTTTGGCTTCAGAAAATTGTCTGTCTTCTGGTCAGAGATACAACATAATTAATGCCAACGACACCCAGCAATGCCAGAATGTGTTTACTTTCCTCTTTCTACTTGATCTGAAAACACTTTCACTAGGCACATACAGCTATAGGATATTTTTAAAAATTATTTGCATACCACTATATAATCAAGAGCCTAATCAGCACTCTGTCAAACCACTGAGAATTATTAGAGAAATAATTTACTTTTAAGATACACCCCTGACAAGCAATACCTATTTATTTGTTTAATTTAATTTAAAAGCATAAGGCCAAGAGCTTACAAAGACTTCTACACATGCTTAATTTTACACACTGTGTGAGTAGCCCAAGTGACATCAATGTGAAGATGCTGAACTTTAAGTAGTTTATATGCATAAGTCTTCTCAAAATCAGGGACAAACTTAATGAAAAGTATTATTCTGTAATCCAATCAATATAACTGGATTGGTGAAGAAGTAAACCTAAAACTCATGGTATACAATTACAATTTTAAGTACAAATTTATATTGACTACCACTGGTAAATGTCAGTGCATCAAACTGGAAATACATACCTGTTCCCACGCATAGAATAAATGAACATTTCCGTTTTCAAAAACTGACACACATCCTATGGTCAGGAAGCAGATCCAAATCAAAATCCCAAATAATTTCAGCCATCTCCGAAATAAGGATTCAATGCATACAAGCAAGTATATGACTGCAAATATTACAAGAGCAGTACATACTACAATAATGAAGCCAAGATGTCGATATTTCTGTTGAAAGCAAAACAAAAGTGTCATGTAAGTACTGAACTTTCCTTTTAATAAATGCAAAACCTACTTGTGTGTCTAATGTCAGCCATGCAGCTACGATGTCATCATATTACAAGCTATTCCTACAGCAATGTCTATTCAGACGTACTTTTTGTCATGTTATATGTGGAACTATGCATGTTTTCAGAATCTTAGGAAAAGGAAAATCCCTATGTAAACAAAAAGTATTACTCCAACTTATTGCTACAGTTTCACCTGCTAATATTGGTGAATATCTAATACTTGCAGAACAGAGCTTTTCTATTAAATTATGTTAAAAGTAAAGAAAGTTAATAAGAACAAGGGAGGGAGAGCGTGAGTAGCAAACTTCAGGATGAACTTCCCTCTAGAACAGTGGTTCCCAAACTTTTCGGCATCACGTCCCCTTTTTGATTTTTGAGAAACCCTCACGCCCCCCTCTCCCAGGAGCTGCAAAACTTGAGCCCCCAAAAAAAAAAATAAGGAACTGACCAGGGCTGAAAAACAAAAATAGCAGCAAAACTTGGGGGGGGGGGGGGGGGGAGAATTCCGCTCCCCCCCCCCCCCCCGGAATTTCTTCACGGCCCCCAGTTTGGGAACCCATGCTCTAGAAGTACTACACATCATGGGTACACTGTCTAGGTCCTCAAAGAGCCCTGCAAATACAAAATTTTGTACCTGCGTCTGTATAAGCAAAAATGAGCCATGGATATCTGTGTATCTGCACAGGGCTCTAGTCCTCAGTTCCAAAGAACTGATTCAACTTGCACTTGCGGAAGACTGTTAAAAACTGACAGGGAGATTTACCAGCCCTTTTATCACCATCTTTACATTTAGCTTCTTTTCCTTTACACAACCCATAAATTTGTCTCTTTGGTTCTATTTATGAAAAAAAAGACACTCCATCCAAACCCTAATTTTTGTATTTCCTTAATTAGCCAGCAAGTGATCCTGGTAGCCAGTTCACATATAGATTTGGTGCAATATATTTTTCCTACCCACCATAAACTGTTCCTAAACTTGCATCTGTCACATAGAAAAGTGAACCATATCCAGCTAAAATTAACAATTTTACCCTGATTACATCCCAAAAGAGTTTCCATAACATTTTTTTTCAAACTCTAAAAATCAATCACAAGACTTCTTAAGCAAGGAAACCATTTGTTACTTCACATTTTAGTTTGCTGTATTTCTCAAAACACTCATATTCTTGAATCTAAAGTTACAATATCCTCCCTCTCAAGTTTTTTTTCCACTTTGTTTCACCTTTTTTCCTTAGCATATGTATTTATTGGCATGATCAGAGAAGATAAAAATCAATACATTTTTTCAAATAAAAAAACCCCTGATTTTTTAATTTAAATCAGATTTTTTTATTTTTTTTTAAATCAATAAAATACTAAATTTCTCATTTAAAAAAAACAGCTACATTTTAAAATAACAGTTATAATAAAAACTCATTGGGGGCAGATGACCATTTTGCAGGGCCCAGGGCAGCACAATTTCGTGGGGCCCCCCTTTGGCGCATGCACGGGGCTTCTTGAAGCGCGGGGCCCAGGGCGGCCGCCCCACTCGTCCTGCCTTATATCTGCCCCTGAATCTCATCACAAACATGCTATGCCTACACTTACGGTCTCATAAAAATGAATTAATGGCTCTCATTTGTCCAGACTAGTTACCAGCTCTTGCTTTTTGAAAGTTTTGAGTCTTCAATTTCTGTTTCTCAGCCAACTAACATGTACAAAGACAGGCACTGGCTAGATAGGATTGGTTTTGTTCTGTGCTTATGTTGTGGTGACCCTGGGTCAAGAATGGCAGAAGAGCTAGATAAAACATTGTCTAAAGAGACACAGAGACAGTATGTAGGAAAGGATGGAGGCAGCCTAGAAAGGAACAGTAGAGTGGACAAGAAAGAAAAAGGGAAGACATTATTCAGCATACACACTAGGGATGTTAGAGAGCATGCAAGTGAATACTCATGTAACTACATGAAATCTTAGCATACACACAACTATTTGATAGTCCCCGGGGGCGAGACTTCCTGCTTGTATGGGCTCCAGCCTGCCCCACTTCACTCTCAGCTTTGCTGCCTCTCTATCTGAGGCAACAGCACAGGGAAGAGAGCAGCAGGGAGATCTGGATCTTGCTGATACAGAGGCAGCAAGGGAGAGGGGAGAGTGCCTGTAGTCAACAAAATCAACTGACAAGCCAAGGCTTATAGGTTTCTACACACAGTTTCCTATATCCCCCTACACTCCTCCCATAGAAACAGTCAAGGCTCCTGGGTGTAAGAGAGACCCTATCTGGGAATATTTTGAAAAAATTCATTCCGTGGATAAAAAAGGAAAATGTGTCAAGTGTAAGCAGAGCAAGAGGAGGATGCAGGGACTAGCTGCAAGAATGAATCATCATAAGGAAAACTGCTTATTAGGAGAAAATGAAGTGGAGGAAGAAAGATGTGGATGTGTCTGAAGAAAAAAGTGCATCAACTTTGCAATGCGCCATTCTTCAAGACACTCTATATGCCATTTAGGGTAAGTGTGATTTGACATGTAAATTCCTAAGCTGTTCATTATGCTGGATGTAGCTAGGAAAAAAAGTTTAGCTAATCTTTATGGCTTGTTTAATTAGTTAACTAGGTTGGGAATCTATCACCCAAGTATACAGTACAGAAAGCTGTAGTAAGAGAAATCTGGAGTTGCCACTGTCATTTTCTTATTTTATATCACATAATAAGTGCCATAAGTCTATCCCCTATTTTACTTCAGCATAACTCAGCTTTCCCAAAGGAACACCATCCTATACTTGTTTCCAATGGGGCTTACTTCAAAATTAAGTGCATTCTAAGCACAGTCAGACTTTGCTTTTGGTGGTAACTCAAAATCTGATCTGCATCAAAATGATAATGGGAGTGGGGAAGAGGAGAGCTAGTTTTAGAAGTTTTAAGGACACTGTACACTTAGTGTTTTGAGGACTTGTCTGTTAGAGTTAATAAAATACGAAAATTTTAAAGAAGATTAAGGACAGCCATCAGCTGGCAACCCAGGAGAGCTGCTTCAATTGCAAATGTGAAACATTTATGTAACACTTAAGATTTAGTTTAATAAAATAAGTGCTACTGTGTGTGTGCGCCCGCTTTAGTTCTTACCATTCTTAATGTACTGCTGCAGCATCTGCAGCTTGACACAATTAATGAGTATGATGTGCTATTTCCTAAATAATTAAAAATCAAGTTATCTAAAAAAAATTACACAAAGTATATCATCTTAGATGTTGTAAAATGCTGTGCTAAGATGTAAATTAACATGTTTTAGTGATCAGATTTGCACCACTGTTTGAAGAAATACATGAAGTGTGAGTGGAAAACTTGATTTAAAATCAATTTTTGTTGGTGATTTAAATCGTGATTTAAAGCAATTATTTAAATTGCCTTGATTTAAATCAATCCATCCTGAGCATGACTCTAATATACCTTGGAATATAAACTGTTAAGAAGTCTCTGCCTGTCTGTCTGTCACACACACACTTTTACCACTAACCTGAAATAAGGGTTACACCATTCTAGCCCAATGACATGACATGACATGACATCACATCACATCACACACATAGCAATACTTTTACCACTAACCTGAAGTAAGGTTACACCATTCTAGCCCAATGACACATTTATCTAGTGAGTTTCTGGGACCTTTGATACAAGTTGTTCCCTACCTCACACAATGTACAGTGCAAACCGAGAACCCTAGTTATACTCACAGAATCGACAAAGAATATTACAATTAGCGCAATACAGAAAGTAATTGCAATGAAGAGTAGCAGGAGAAGAAGCGGATGCTGCTGGCTTGTGTAGCGGTACTTCTCATAAAGTGGGTCTGTTATCTTGCAGTCTTCGTTTTCATTAAAGAAGTATTTGCCTTTAGCTGGCATTTTATTCCGCTTTGGCTTTTATTTCTCAGCTCCCAGTAATAAGAAGAAAGCAAAGACAGAACTAGCCTTCTTTGAAGAGCACTTTTGTCTTCTTAAGTAGGCTTTGGTTCTGATTTGCTGGACCACACGGAGTGATTCACATTCTGCGTGCTTGCCTTGTGCTTTTGCTCATGAGCATAAAGTTCAGCTCTCAATATATATAATAGGGAAGAGCCCTCCTCCCCAGAGCCACCTCCTATTCTTCAAAGGCTGCATGCAAGTTTTTTTTCTAGATTGATTGATACTTGTGCTGCTGCTGTTCAGCTTTTCTTTTGCCACAGTCACTGTAACTTCTTTCCACAAACTGTCAGCAATTCCTTTGGAGTGTTTTTCACGGGATAAACTCTGTGAAGAGACAGCAAGTTAAACTTCAGTTAATTGGATGCATTTTTGTCTCAGAAAACTATATTCTTGAACCTCTCTGTAAATAACCTTTCACTGGGCCATGGGAATTAAGCACAACAGTCCCTCAACATTTATAACTTTCTGTTTAACATGCCATTTAAACTCTAATGCAGTGGTTCTCAAATACTGACCCCTGGAGCACTTGCTAAAGTTGGGGATTTGATGCTACCTTTTTATAGCAGCTGAAACACTTAAAACCAGCCAAAAATAAATTAAATACCTTTCTATTGTTATATTCCCACATGAGCAATGGCTGTTGTTACCATAGGCATGTTAAGTAATTGAGAATGATACGGTGAGATGGTTCAAGCAATCAAAAAATGGCAACAGATGTGACCAACACTATGTAAAAGTTTGTTCCCCTCCCCCATCTCTAATACAAGATTAATTCCAACTTAATCTTGAAACTGACTGTACATATTAACATGCAGAACTCTTCTGAGATTGAAACAGGCAGAATAAATTGAGCAGTGCAGTGAACTTCTCTTCATGCATATTTACTATTTTGATGGGCTAACAGGTTTGACTTTGATATTCAGTTATAAAAGGATATAACAGAATCATGTACTTGTCATACTAAAAACTGTCGGTTTAAAGATAAAACAACACTGAGTTTTCCGTTGTACCCCAAAATATTATTCCCCGCCCAAAACTAACAAAATTGTTCCATGTTTTTCCAAACACACTTTCATGATTTCTCTGAAGATAATTGCTCCATTGTACAGTTCTTTCATAAGTCTGCATAACATGTATTTAAAGATGTGTGCATAAATCACAGTACCTGCACTTAAATGGTAGAAAGACCACAAATGAGTAAAACATACAATCGCTTGGACTAGACTTTGCCACCCTTACTCACTAAGTGATATCTTAGTCCGCTAGCAATCCCACTGAAATTGATTTAACTGCTCCTGGAGGAAGAGTGGCACCACCCGGTCTTTTGAAGTTAGTACAGGTTGAATCTCTCTAGTCCAGCACACTCTGGTAACATCATGGTCTGGCATGATTTTAGTTAGCTGGATGTCCACTTATCATGGGTGTGGCCAAGTTTCTCATGGTCTCATAAAGTTTGTTTATAGCCACCAGACCTGGCGCTCAGTGTTCTGTGCTGTTATTTAGCTCTAATTTACCCCTAAGTATCTTCTAAGAGCCCAGTAAGTAGTGTGAGTGCTGGTAATGCTGCTAGACAATACTGACCTCCCATGGGCTAGCAAATTATTTGGTTTGGCACTGGTCAGGTCCCCAGGGTGTCAGACTAGAGAGGTTCAACCAATACTTTAAAATGTTCCGAATCAGGGCTACAGACTGATTTTGATTCTTGCTAATAAAAAATGAAGGGCCCAATCCTGTACTCCTACTCAGCCAAAATTCATCTGAGCTTTGAACATGTAATAGTTTGCTCAGATGGAAGATGCTTATTCTTGTTAAAAAGGAACAGGCCATACTAGATTATCAGTTTTAGGGAAAACCCACCACTAAATCATTGGAAATTTCAGCTTAAAACTGACATTACAATATGGACTAATACATACTATTTCATTTTTATTCGCAGTATCTTTTTCATATTCTATTGATTTTGAAACAATAAAAAACTTAATTTACATTTTCTTTAAATTTACCTCCTTAAATATATGAAACAAGTATCAAATAGAAAAATAAAGTACAGTTGTCAAAACCAAAACCTACTGCCCTTATATTTAAAGAACCAATCTGTTAAAAAAAGAAACCAAAGAACTGTAGCTACTAAATCTTTCCAATCTAATTTATACTATTTCTATGGCAACAGCCATGTTAAAATAACAATGAACATTAAGGGATAAGTTACACAGTTAACTAGTAATGACTGATAATTTTCAAATGGCTGCTTGAATATAGTTCATTCAATGACAGGGGAGACTTTTTAAAAAAAGAGTCAGCAAAGTGTGAAAAACAGGATTTAAAAAATGTTTTAGTAGGACTTGATTAAATAATTGCAGCTTCCTTACTAGTAGATTATCATCACCATGGTATTCTAATCTTGGTTTTTCTCTGAAAAGGAATGGCCTGAAAACTTGCTAGAAAGCCAATTTAAATGGCTTACTTTCAAGTAAACTGTTTAAGTATATACAGACACAGTGGACACAGTGCAGCTAGGGATGTAAAATCCTGTTTAATTGGTTAACCAGTTAAACATGATGTTTAACCGATTAACTCAGTGTTTCTCAAACTGTGGGTCCCAACCCCCGGGGGGGAGGTCGTGAGCAATTTTGAGGGGGGTCGCAGCTGGATTCAGTTTTTCCCTTGTGACCCATCTCTCCCGGGCCGTGAAGAGCAGCAGAGCAGTGGAAGGCAGCTGCCGGCAAGCCATGCAGCATGGCCGGGGCCACGGGACTCCAGCTCAGCTGCAGCAGGAGGCAAGGCGGTGGGAGAGTGAGGCCTGAGCAGGAGCAGACGGGTGAGGGGCTGGCCTGGGCATGGTTGCCGGGCAACTAAATGCTTCCCCAGCTGGGAGAGGGCGGGGTCCCTCAGGCAGCGGGCTGGGGAATTGGGTCGGGGCAGAGGACCCAGAGGTAAATAAGGGCACGTGGTGGTCAGAGGAGGAGGCAGAGAAGACATGGGAGAGGAGTGGAGGACGGAGGAGAGGAGAGAGAGAAGGAACCAAAGGGAATGGAAAAGAGGCACAGAGGAGAAAGAGATAGGGGGAAGGAGCCTGCAGGGGGGAAGGGAGTTAAGGACACAAATGCCTTGAAGGAACCCCAGGAGGGCAAGGAGTCTGGTGAGAAGGGGGGGAAGAAGTGACCCAGGGCAGTGAGGGTGGGAGGAAATCACACAAATTCATTTAGCATTTTAGGGGGTCATGGTATCACAAAGTTTGAGAACCCCTGGGTTAACTGATTAAGGGGAGGAGCGCCAGGAGGCTGCCTGCCCACGGGCTCGAGTAGCACCCCCCAACAGAGGCAAGGGCTGCTTCAGTCTAGCCAGAGCAGCCCTTGCCTACAATGCATCCTGTCCCCGTTAAGGGTGATGCTTACCACTTAACCTTTCATATTCTTAATTGCAACTGGAGATGTTGGTAGGGCTTTTGTTGTTGTTGTTGTTGTTGTTTTTTAAAGGAGAAGCACACCAAATTATACCAATATAACCAAATTCTAGAACATTACCCACTGGAAAATAGGGTTGCCAGGTGTCCAGCCGATTCTCTCCCCTCGCTTC